CAGAGATGTGTAGCAGCCAACTAGTTCCCAACCCAATAACGAAGGATTGAGAGTAGTCCATTCAGAGTCTAAACAACCAAAACTAGAACTGAACCAACAAAACATCCAGCCAATCCAAAAATTGCAATAGAAATCATATTGCATACCATTAAGCCCAATATTATAAACCAACAAAGCAACCAACCAAACCAGAAATTGCAGTAGCAATCATGCAATAAACCATGCATCCAAAGACCATGAATCAACAAAACAACCATTCTAACCAGAAACTATAGTAGAATCATGATATAAACCTTGCAACTAAAGAGTATGAACCAACAAAAAAGCCACCAATACCAAAAATTGCAGTAGAATCATGCTACAAATCATGTAGATAAAGATAACACACATTAGATAATAATGTATCCACATTAATTACTTACATGTGTTTCAGGAGTGAAATAACTAGCTAATTCTTCAGGGATCCTTCCTTCCTTCATTATCATGTAGGCCTTAAAAGCTGATTCTAAATTGTTGTATTTCTCTTGCCATTGGTTTAAAGATGGAAAGGCAACACCAGATGAAGAGGAGCTCAAGCTAGAAACGCGAAGTCTTGTATTCTTATTAGCTAAGGACCAAAACAGACCAACCAGTTAATATATAACTAGCAACATAACCCATAGTTAAAACTAGAACTACATACCAACAACTCCATGAAGCCAAAACCATAATAGCAACACCAAACCAGAGATGTGTAGCAGCCAACTAGTTCCCAACCCAATAACGAAGGATTGAGAGTAGTCCATTCAGAGTCTAAACAACCAAAACTAGAACTGAACCAACAAAACATCCAGCCAATCCAAAAATTGCAATAGAAATCATATTGCATACCATTAAGCCCAATATTATAAACCAACAAAGCAACCAACCAAACCAGAAATTGCAGTAGCAATCATGCAATAAACCATGCATCCAAAGACCATGAATCAACAAAACAACCATTCTAACCAGAAACTATAGTAGAATCATGATATAAACCTTGCAACTAAAGAGTATGAACCAACAAAAAAGCCACCAATACCAAAAATTGCAGTAGAATCATGCTACAAATCATGTAGATAAAGATAACACACATTAGATAATAATGTATCCACATTAATTACTTACATGTGTTTCAGGAGTGAAATAACTAGCTAATTCTTCAGGGATCCTTCCTTCCTTCATTATCATGTAGGCCTTAAAAGCTGATTCTAAATTGTTGTATTTCTCTTGCCATTGGTTTAAAGATGGAAAGGCAACACCAGATGAAGAGGAGCTCAAGCTAGAAACGCGAAGTCTTGTATTCCTAAATGTATTAGAAGGAACAACACCCAATCCCATGCATCGTACTCTCCCGGAGTGCTCTGGTCCGTATAAAATAGTTTTGTCATTGTAAAATAAGTAAATTTTAGTTTTGGTCCTTACAATTTTTTTTATTTTCACTTTTGTAAAATATAAAATCACTATTTTTTTCCTTAACGATGATTTTAAAGTGTATAAATAACATTTACTTTAAATAAACTATACTACTATTTTATGTAACATTGTGTGTCTTGTTGTTTTGTTGTAGAATGATATTTTAAAATAAACATGCTTTTGAAATATAGAAGACTCCCATCTAACAAAAGTGATATTGAGTTCGAATTTGAATCTAAGACATCTCACTCCAGACTTAAGACTACTTTCTATAAAGTTGGTGGTAAAGGAGGATACCTTCCAAACAACATAAAATCAAACAAAAAGGAAAGTCCAAGGTCATGGGTACTAATAAGAAATGACCAAAGAATAAGGAGGTATAAAACTTAAGTTATGATCAACTAGTGAGCGGAGGTCAAATTATTAGATTTAGGTTGAAACATCACGATTTTGTAATTTTAAAAAATAGTATATGAAAAAAAAACTCTCAAGGTCAACATATAAGTTATAGATAATTGTCTTAACTTCCTTAAAATAATTAAGATTAACTTGATACAATGTGTTGTGCATGTATTGGTTATTTTATTGAAGTAAAAGTTGTATGTGATGAATATGTAGGTATGATATTGTGAGATATGCATGATGTAAACGACATGAACTGATATTAACAAATTGGCAAATCGATGCACGTGGATCTTGTGAGCATCATGTGAGGGAAAATTGGCAAATTGTTGAATGTGTTTTGTAATAACATGATATTGTATTGAGTCTTGTGTGACATGCATCATATGCAAATGTTTTGTATGAGTACGATATAAAATATGTTGCTAGGGAAAGTCCTTTTCTATAAAAGCTTGAGATTCGTGACCTTGGGGACAATTGGGTTTGGGAACCCCACTTTTGTCCCTTGTGTGCATGGGGTGAAATTTGCACGACACAATTATTTTAACGATTCATTAGGGTGTCTCCTCCTAGTGTAGAGTGTGATGAGGGTTTAATCCCACATGTTCTTCTAGACTACTCTTTATGTGCTTTCGAGCCAGTGACAAATCAATGTGTTTTTACTGGCATCACATGCATGTGCATTTTAAAGTTCATGTCCATTGCATCATATAAGTGAATGTGTAATTGTGTGATGAATCGTAGTGTGACTCAACCATTGTTTATGTTATGTTATACCTTGTTAGTGTTATGTGTTGTTATTGTTATATCTTGTTACTATAATATATTATTATATATATTGATGATGTGTGTGTAGCTATCTAGCTATGTTTCACATTGTGAGGTAGAGTGAGATGTTTCTCACTCTTTGTTTCTTGTGTTTGTTATGTGTGTATGTTACTACATCATGAGATTAATGATGCTGGTGATGAAACTAGACATTGTGTAGGAGTGTGCTTTAATAGAATGTGACATTGGGATATAATTAGGATTTGGTTTTTTTGTTGTTTAGTTATGTTTTTTAACATGGTGTTAGACTTATTTAGTAGTTATTTTTATTAGATGTTATTTTTTTTCATTAAATCTCATGTTGGAATATAGTTTTTTTTCTTCTAATTGTAATGTGATACCCCTTTGAAGACTTGTTTTCATTTAATTAATTTTTATTCATAAACTTAATCCTTTTAAAATATTTTGTTATTATGTTTACTATTATATGCGAGGTTGAGCGTGTTACAGACATAATGAGTGCATACAAGGTGATATTCCCTTCTTAATATAATTTATTTCACATATAAAGTTAGAATTCAAAACTTGTACAACTTGATTTTAGAAAGATGTAAAAAATGTTATTGCCTGAACTGTCACCCTTAATAACTGTCACCCTTAATAGTACTAAATTACTGTCCCTTCTATGTGCAACCCAACAAAGTGTAATGACTATATACTGTTTACTTACATAATATTATAAAATTATAAAATCCAACAATATTGATATTGGTAATAAATAACCTATCGCAATAATTTGTCAAGTGAAACCTCACTTGCCAAATTTTGTAATCTAGTTACCAATATCAAAATTACTGAGAAATATAATATCTTTTATTATGTAAATAGGCAGTAAATAATTACTATACTTACTAGGTTGCACATAAAAAGGGAGAATAATCCAGTACTATTAAGAGTGATAGTTTAGATAGTAGCATTAATCACATTTATTAATAAGAATAAAGTTGAAAAATAATTGTAAGTATGAGAATCACATTGAATTTTTTCCAAATTTTTTCCCCCAATGAACTACCAAAAGTTAAAAACCTGTTTTTTAAGATAAAAGATATTTAAGAAACTTATCTTCCATAATAAATCAACGCTTTATATATAAAATACGAATAACTATATTACACAAGAATAAGATTTAATTCGGCAATAGAGTTTTTAGAACTTTTTTTTAAATTTTATATCTAATTTAGTTTCTATTTATCATAGTTTTTATGATTTAAATTTGGTTAAATTATATTTTGGGTTATTTATCTTGTTTTTTTAGATATATTTTGATCATTTATCTATTTAAATATTTATTTTGATTATTTATCTATTAAAATATTTATTTTGGTCCTTTTATCTTTTATATTTGAACTAATTTGACCTTTTTTAAAATAATGATTATTTTTAATTTTATGATATAATTTTAATCAATTTTTGATTGATTCAAAATGTGAAACTTATAATATTAAATTTACCTATATAAAAAATATAAAATATAATTGATGTTTGAATCCAAAAAGATTATAAACATAATGAAAATTGAGCAAATAATATATCACATGATCAATTAAAAAATGATATGAAATAATTGTTTTTAAAATTTTTGTTTTTTATCATGTTTATAATATATTTGATTTCAACTTTAATTACATTTAATAATTTTCATATAATGAATCCTATTAGACAAGTTTAAGATTTTAAAAGATTTAAACCCCAATTCCAAAGTCTTGAAATTGGTCAAAACAGATTTAAAAAAGCTAACTTGACCTAAACTTATGAGATAAAAGAACAAAATAAATATTTTAAATAATAAAACACCATAATGAATTTAAAAAATAAATTAAAAAACCAAAAATATAATTTAATCTTTAAATTTTAATATTTAAAATAAATTATCTACAAATAAAAATAATCTTGTATCACATTATAAATTATTTACCATAAATACAATTTATGTATTTAAAATACATATTTATTCAATTTTTATATATAATTTATATATTCAAACATAATATTTATTTATATACATAATTTATTTTAAAATTTATTTACATACAATAAATAAACTAAAATAGAAGTATTTTTTTAATATCAGAAATTCAACTTCGACACAAACATAAAAAATAAATTTGTTAGTATCATTTATAAAAGCTAATATTAAAGTGATGAATATGAAAAAAAAACATTATAAAATTAAAAAAATAATTTAAAAATGTTTTAAATACTTGTTTTTATTTCCTTATCATCAGTATAAAATGGAATTAAAAATAAGAGTAAGATGTTGAATAATATATATTTTATATTTTTCAGAACTACTACACGAACCAACGACGTCGTTGTGTACTTTTCTTTTTTCCTTCTTTTGTTTCAACAAAAGAAAAAAACTTGGAATACGTGAACCCTGATTCTGAAGCGCGCAGAAGAAACACATTTGCGGCGAACACATGAAGAAACCGAAGCAAACTCAGATGAACCCCAATTGGGTTCAACTCCAACAAGTGCCTCCTCTGTTCTTCTTCTTCTTCCTTGTATTCGACGCACCCATTTTTCTTCATCAATTTATTGGTGTTTTTCCTTGTGCAGAAGCTGAAGCTGAATGCCTCCAAGGCTTCAAGGACCTTCAATAATTCAGATGACGACACCCCAAACTCAATACTAGGTAAAAAAATGATTTTTTCTTCTGGGGTTGCATTGTTTGACGTAGTGGATTTATAAGAGGCGAAGCCTTGAAAATAATGCTGCTGTGTGTGACTTTATTTATTTATTTATTTTTTGATTTTTGTTGACAGGGAAACGTAAAGAAAGACCAGATGATGAATCCAATGATTGTCAGAATAATCCTCTTATTCCTGTAAATGACGATTCAAGGTGACTTAAGTGATTTTTATGTGTTTTGTGGCACTATAAGCCGATTCGAAATTTCGAATATAAGCTTAGAAGTGTTTTTTTTAGAGTTACTCTACTAAAAGTACTCTATAGCCAATTTAATACTTTAATATCATTTCGAGCTAGAACTTGTTTTTTCTTGTATTGTAATTTGTATGTGTTCATTTTTTCTAGGCCTGCTATATTATTATGGAGCTTCCTACTCTTTTTAAAGTTCACTATTATGTAATTTGTATGTGTTCAATATCATTTTAACTTATTAACCATTTGGCAGTCTGACAGATGCAGTGGCCATGGATTGTGAAATGGTTGGCGTTGGTCAAGGAAACAAAAGTGCCCTTGGAAGAGTGACACTGGTATTAATTTGTTCTTCATATTGTGATTATTATCTATGCACATTTAGGAATTTGCTTTTTCCCCATGTTACTACATTGATGAATTCATAACACAAAAAAAAAAAAGTTTGGTTGGTGAATAATAACTAATCATTTACATATTTTTTTCTTTTTCATCCTAATCCATTTTATTGGCTTTGGAATTCTGCCTAAAATATCTGTTTATAACTGCATTAATTTCTTCAGTCCCAATACAGTGCTGATGATTTTGTAGACTAACATGCCTTTGCCTGAAGTTTACAACATCATTTTATATGCATATCTTAGATTGTGTGTTGTTTAACCATGAGGTGTTACTCAATTGGCCCGAGCACCATATGAGTGGATTTCACCTGCAGTGCAAGATATCTCATTATTGGCTTTCTTCTCCTGGACTTTTCTTTTGAGTTTCTTGTCTACCATATGAGACCATAATAACTTCTTGTGCTTTATGACTTTTATCACCTTTGATGAACATAGGGTTTAACTGTTTAAGTGCAAGAGTTAGATAAGCATAATTTGACTGTATGAAAGCCCCTATTAACAACTATGATACTATAAAATTTATCCATGCAATGCAGAACCCGTGCCTGATATATTATAAAATTCATCTGTGAAATTTTTTGGGGAGCTATTTTTCGCACATCAGAAATAAGTTGAAAGCCCCAAGAATATTGCATCCTGTATATATGCGATGTCAAATCAATCCTAATTCTATTAGTGCAAGAAATCATAGCATTAAGACTCAAGTGGTCCTAATTCTATTAGAATAGTAATTTCTCACATTTAACCAAGCACCAAGAGTCTAAGACCAAGCATTAATTTCCAAATTTCTTTGGCATAAATAATTATTGCAATTATCATGTATAGCTTCATTTCCCTTTTGCCTTGTTAAGTATTTTATTTCTAATAGTAGTTCAGTTGATGGCAGGTCAACAAATGGGGAAATGTTGTTTATGACGAGTTTGTCCGGCCAATGGAGCGGGTTGTTGACTTCCGCACTAAAATTAGCGGCATAAGACCTCGAGATCTTCGAAAAGGTTTGCTTGACATTCTTTTGTATATAATTTTAAATTTAAATTATAACTGAAAGTATTGGAACATAAAATTCCAAAGATATGAAGTGGTTTGATATTTAATGGTCAAGTTGAGAGTCTGCTATTTAGCATGAATTATACCGAATTTCAATTTCTCTGTAGAAACATTAATTTATGTTGTATTCTTTGAAAGTTTAAATTTTCTATCAGTCACAATTTATTGCATTCTTGCATGCATCATGGAGTATGAGAGTTTTTTGCCTCTTGCTAGTCTTGAATAAAGGGGATGGGTCGGCTATGAAATATAACATAAACTTCTATGGACAACTTTAGCTTTGAGTTTCAAATTTTTGGATGTTATCTTTTACTGATAAAATTTGGACATTTTCAAGAGCCTCGTGATTTTTATTTCTTATTATAAATATGAGGATCAGGATTTTTCGTTACCATTTCTATGAATAACATTATGATTCGAATGCCAATAAACTGATTCAACTTTCAACATTGATAAAATTTGTAGCAAAGGATTTTTGGACTGCTCAGAAGAAAGTAGCAGAGTTGATCAATGGAAGAATCCTTGTTGGTCATGCCTTGTGCAATGATCTTAAGGTCTGCATTTGAGTGTTTTATTTTCTTGATTTATGTGTATATTTTTTTTATCAACTTCTGGTATTTAAAACTAAGAATTAGAATGTACTTTTGCAGGCATTATTATTAAGTCATCCCAAAAAGGACATACGAGATACTTCTGAGTACCAACCATTTCTAAAGTGCTGTCACCTTGCTACTTCTTTTAGCAATTCGTTTTTTAATTTCATTTTCCAAATGTCCCTATACTTTGTTCTAATAGAATTGTCTTTGGGTTTGAGCAGGTCAAGTAGCAGAAGAGCACTGCGGCATCTTGCTGCAGAACATCTTGGTGTTAAGATCCAAACAGGAGAGCACTGCCCTGTTAGTCTATTTACACCTCCCTCCTTTTTCTTTTATGAGATATCATTTTACCAATAAAACTAATAGTATTAGAGGTGTTTGGGTGACATTTTGATGGGGTTAGGATGGAATGAGTTTAATTGTCTTTACATGACCCAACATTTTGATAGGGAAATTTATTTGAACCCAAATACAACCTGAAATACAAGAGACAAAACTAGGTTAACCTGATTTGTTGACGTAATATATCATTCTTGATATTATGTATAGTTAAATTGTAGAATTAAAGAAGTATAAAACCATAACTATGGTGTATTTTACAATATGTATTTAGATAAATAATATCAACATAAATATAACATTGTTTATACAAAATATTATCTACTAATTCAAAATTTTATTTCCTAATTTGAAAAAAATTATACCTTTTAAAAGAATATAGGACATGATATCTAAATTCTAAAACTTGAATCCGTCAAAATTAGCTTTGGGATAGACACGTTAGTGGGATGGGTCTGGTCATAATTAGTGTGATGGGTAAATGGCAATTGTCTTTTTAGTCTAAAAAATGCACTAGCTTTTGAAGTTGCCATTCTTGTAAGTTTGAATTTGTTATTTTATTGTTTTGGTGTGAGCTTGGTGAAAACCCAGCTGAATATGTAAAATATGGAATCAGAAGTCTTAGTGTCTAACACATCCATATTATTTCAGATAGAAGATGCTCGTGCTGCTATGATGCTTTACCAAAGAAATAAAAAGGAATGGGAGAAGAGCATAAAAGATCAATTTCGGCTCAAACAGAAACAGAGGAAATCAAAGCAGAAAAAGAGGCAGAAGAATGAAGATGCTTCAAATGCCAACCACGTTGGAGTTGGATCATAGCATCGGATGCCCTTTTAAAAAATATGGTCAGGAAACCTCTCCTTCAATGGTTAACTTCGAATTCCAAATGCAGTTGAAAGAAACATTTTTTTAGTTATTATAAGATCAATATTCAAGGTACCACATACACTCATGTTCTGTTTTGCCCCTTCTCTCCAAGTATAATTTTTAGGAAAAAAACTCTTCAGTTTTATAGTGGGTAAATGTTATGTTGTAGTTCAAATTAAATCAAGAGTGTATATCATCATTTATTTTAGAGTTTTTATCGTCGCTGATAATTTATTTTCTATTGAGAGGCTTCAGCCAATCGTTTTTCAGAAGCTTGTACATAATTGAGTTTATGTACAAAAATGAGTTATTCATACACTATTGTTTTGTAGACATTCTTCAGCCAATCAAGAGTGTATGTATAACTATGAACCTTTTTGGATACAAGTTTAGAAATGCTTTTGAGAATCTTTTTTACTGAAAAATACCCTTTATCTTCAGTAAAAATGTTCTCAAAAAGTGCTTATAACTTGAATCCAAACATGTTCTAAGAACATGACTGAACCCTCATTTTCGTGGGCTTCATTTTTCAGAAAATAGAGCTTTCGAAGAACTTCCACGAATTGAGTGAGGAAAGTCAATATTTTTTTTCAATCTTATTTTCTAAATATTTTTACGATGAACAAGTTCTGGTATTCTTTACTTGATTGATGATCAATTGTATTAGGTTAGACTACCTTGGCTTTTCATTTGTTGTCACATTCTCTCTCTCTCTCTCTTGTAAAATTTGAATTCATTTATAAGAAATTTAAATTTCACAATGTTTGCTTTCTTGAAGTTAATTTTTTTTCCATAGATTAACTAAACTAAATGAGAAAATTTTAACTAAAAGAACTGAAATTATTCTGCTATAACCATTTTTTGTGGAGTTCATTAATTTACATATGTAATTATTTTAAATACTTTGTACGTATACCCATAACCGAATCAAAATTTCTCAACTTGCACAAGGAGTCACCGATTTATGGTAACAAACACACATCGATTTCATTTCTAAATATCAGAAAAATAATTAATGACTAAATTAATAAAAAAAAAGTGATTATAAAAACTAAAGAATAAAATGACACGCTAAAGAAACTATGGAGTCCAAACACATAAAATCAAACTCCTTACCATAGTAATCACAAATAGAACAAAAGGAGAAAATAAAATAATTTTTTTTTTGAAAATTAGTAAAATTTATTCAAATTTGTATATGTTAGGTTTAACAGTACTTCAATTTTGAATCAACATAAAATAGAAAAATCAATTTAAAGATTCATATTAAAATTGATTTTGAAAATTGAAAATAATCAAAGTCAATTTTGCAATGATCAAAATGATTGAAGTTAAAAACACAATAAAGAGCAAAATACAATCTAAAAACAAAATTGAATAAAGAAAAAAGGTTCAAAATAATTGAGAAATGATGAAATTAAGAATATGTAGGAAAAGAATGCACATGAGCCAACAATTGAAACTCAAATAAAAGAAACATTACATACTATTAGTTCAAATCTTTTATTTTGTTGTAATTCTAATGACGTGATGAGGTGACATTGTGAAAGCTATGGAACTACTTTAATAGATAAAAAATTAAGCTCTCAATAAAAATTAAAACTTAAAGAAAGAGAGTAGTCTAATTATATATCACAAAGAAAATGCGAAATAATTTATTGGTTTTTACATTTAGTAAAATTTAGTTATAAATAAAGAGTGATTTAACTTCCCAAAAAATTCAAAATTTAATTCTCAAAAGTAATGATTCAATTTTAATTTTCTCAAAATAAGGTGTCATTTTCTATCAAGAAAATATCTTTTATAATTTTAAATTAGTTTACTAATACTCTTTAGAATGAAATATAAATAAATTTTAATCAAATCAACTTTATTTAATATTTTTAATTAAAAATATTTTTAGAATAATAGATGAGAACATTATCTATAATAAATGTGATTGAGATATTTTAGAAAATATAATATATAGTTTATATAAAATTGTGAAAAATAACTATAATCAGAGATGAGAGTAGGTCTGATAAAATTAATTTTTAAATATATAGGCTAAACTTATTTTTATAAAATTAAATCCTAAACCTTATTTATTATTTATTCTAGTTTTTATATATATTTAATTTGATGTTTTAAAAGTTTGACTTATTAACCAATTTAAAAGTCTATTTTAGATTAACGATATTAAATAAGTCAATACACTTAATTTTAAATAAACCAGTAAATCTATTTTTTAAATATGTGTATAGATATTATTTTAATTTAGATGATAAAAAAATAGTTTATTGTATTATTATTAAAATTTAAAATTTAAAATAGATAAAAAAATCAATATAAAAGGGCAACTTATAGTAATGTACTCTCACATAGATTATGAAGAAAGAAAATAATTTTATTAAACAAAAAATTTATAAATATTCTTTATATCCTATTTTGAATATTTTAAATAATCAATCACAAATATGAAGAATAAAAGCAAGTGCAAAGATGCAATTGCTAAAATTTCTATATCCAATTTCTTGATTTCTTAAAACATGAAATATAAAATGTTTAGCCGCAGTGAAAATGTAAATGGATTGATCTATCATAGGCCTAACCTTTTTAAATAAATATATATATATATATATTTAAAAAATCTAAACATAACATTTTTATTAAATAAATCAAACCAGACTTTAAATAAATCAAAACATAAACTCTTATTTAAAATCTAAAATATTTTTTATCTATAACTAAAACTAAAGAGAGAAAAAATTTTCAACCGGGAAAATTTATAGGCTACAACTAACTTGAATATTAATAACCTAAATGAACTAATTAAAAATTGAATTATAGTTGGTAAAATGAGACGAAAAAAATGTCTTAAACATATTCCAATTTTATTATTATTATTTATTTTTAAAAAAATGGTTATTAATAGGCATGAGGTGATGAGGTGAAAGAAAAGTGTAAACCGATTCCAATTTTGCTACACTCTACAAATAGCATTGGCAACGACTAACGGCAGCATTAACACCAAAAGTTTCACCGCAACGCAACTGTCACCTCTCTCTTGCGGACCAAAACGCAGACACGTTCTCCCTTCTCTCTCTCTCTCTCTCGCTCACTTTCACATGCACACACACACACACACTCCTCAAATTCACTTCCACAACCCTAAACCCTATAAACCCAATCTCAGTGCTCTGAAAATTCAACCCAACACCAACATTCACAACATGAGGATTCCGACCATTCGCCGCTTCACAACTCCCTCTCTCACTTCCCACCATCCCAAATCCTACGTCTCCGACTGCAGAGCCGTCCTCGTCCCCCACTTCGGCGGCCCGCACGTGCTCCAGCTTCACTCCCACGTGCCACTCCCCCCTCTCAGGCCGCACGAAGTCCTCGTTCGCGCCCGCGCCGTCGCCATCAATCCCTTGGACACTCGTGTCAGTGCATTGCTTTTCTTGCAATTTTTCATTAAGCGCTTTGAAACTTTCTCGAACTGTGTCTTGAACTGTTTGTTGCAGATGCGCGCCGGTTATGGCCGTTGCCTTTTCGAGCGGCTGCTGCCTCTCATTTTGGGGCGCGACGTCAGCGGCGAGGTTGCGGCGGTTGGAGCTGCCGTCAAGTCGTTGAGTGTGGGAGAGCAGGTCTTTGGAGCTCTGCATCCGACTGCGGTGAGAGGCACTTACACGGACTATGCGATTCTCTCGGAAGAGGAGGTTATTTCGAAACCGGATTCGCTTGATCATGTGGTATGTTCTAGTTTCGTGATTTGGTTAGGTATATTGAATTTGATGATTACTGCTCTTGACTTGACTTGGTGTCTTTCTAAAAATTGTACTTGCAACTTTGAGTGTGTGTGGTTGACCAGTTAGAATGGCGCACAAGAAGGAGTTTAAAGTTATATTATCGGGGTGTTTCTTTTGGCGTGGTATACACAAGAATTTCAATAAAATTGCATCAAATCAACGGAAATTACGCATAAGCTACAAGTTGTAGCTTCTGATTGACACACATTTAAGGCTTTATATTTATACATGCTATTGGAGATCCCACATCGTTTAGTAAGATAGTCATACTTGTGTATATAAGTGGAGAACAGTGTTGGGGATTCTACATTGACCAAAGATGAGGCCAAATAGTATATTGAGGAGCAATCCTCAACTTACACCTTGATTTTGTAAGGTTGAGTTGAGCTCCAAACCACTTTCTTAAGATGGTATCAGAGCTTATACTAGCAATTCTTATTGTTGGACTTGTCAGGTCACCTGCTATCAAGCCGTTATCAGACCACCCGTGGATGTCCAATATTCAACGTGAGGGGTGTGTGTTAGAGATCTCACGTCGTCTAATAAGATAGTCATACTTGTGTATATAACTGAGAAATAATTCTCACTTTACGAGTCAATTTTGTAAGGTTTGGTTAGACTCTTAATTTACTTTCTTCAGACAGCAATATGTGTTTAGATACTTAAAAAATAGAATAGGACAAGTCATGATGATTGAAGAACAGCATATCTTGGTTCCACTGAGAGCAGAATAGAGCTGGGGCTTTCTATTCCATTCCTGTTCTGTGCGTGTGCTGTCTTTCCTTGAGGCCTTTTCAGCCAGCTGATTGTGATCTCTTGATTTGATGAATCAATCTGTTGTCAGGATTGGTCACGGTATATGTTGAATGACACTGAACCACAAAATTGTATTTTGAATCACTTGCAATGTAGGGTTGTTCTCTCTTTGTAATTGTTGAATTCCTTTCTTATGGCATTATTGGGGTTGGGTAGAATGGGGAATGAAATACTCATTGATTAAAGAAGAGCTACCAATGATTAATACATGAGTGGAAATATGTTGGAATATACTCACTACAGAGCTGTATTGCTGTCAATATATGCACAGGTTCTGCTATAGCAAGGGATTTTAGTTTGCTGTCATTAATTCATAACAGTAATTAGATTTTCACTATGTATGTGGCTATCTGCCAGTACTTGGATGAACATCATTATTCTAAGAACTGTTGCTAGAAGGAAACGTGTCTAAATGTGTGTTGGGTGGATGACATGAACCATACTATAGATCGTGCAATATGTTGAATTACTCTGTAGATTCATGTCATATTGAGAAATGATTTGAATGTGGTTATCAACTTATAGATTGGTATGGAAAAAAATATTTATCTTGTACACTGATTTGAATTTGACTCTCCAAAGTGAGAGATAAAACAATAATCTTTGTCTGTATATGTCCAATACATTTTTTTACCGTCACTCTCATAATTTTCATGTTACAAAATAATTAGTGGTTTCTATATTTAATAATTGACCATAATTTTTTCCCCATGTTTACTTTGGAGGCATTCTTTTTTACTTTTTCCCCCCTTTTAATCTTGTAGGAAGCCAGTGCCATACCTTTTGCTGCATTGACAGCTTGGCGTGCTCTAAAAAGTACAGCTAGAATAAGTGAGGGGTATGTTTATATTGATGAAATTATGACTTCCATCAGTGAAAATTTATTTTTTGCTTATAAATTTTCTGTTCATTTAGAGTTTTTATTTTTTGTATTTTCATCACCCACTAAATGTCCAGCTTTCTAAAAACTCTCGTTCCACTCACTTATATCCTTTAGTTATCTCAAACAGACAAAGGATATTAGTAGTGGGAGGTGGAGGAGCAGTAGGATTTGCTGCAATTCAGCTTGCTGTTGCTGCTGGTTGCTCTGTTGTAACTACTTGTGGAAGTCAAAGCGTAAGCAGATTGTTAGCAGTTGGTGCAGAGCAGGCTGTTGATTATGTGGCTGAGGTGGTGTTGAATCTTCTTTTGTATCATTTTTCCTGTCATTAGTTCAGATATTTCAATTATGATACCATTGCTACTGAAGTTTTGTTTAGAAATAAAATTTGGTGAAAGGGAAAATAACAATACTTAACATACTGGTTTATCAAAAACAGAAAATAAGAGGCTAGAAAGGAAAAAATGAAAGAGTTGATAGTTGGCCTTTGATGAATGTGGCAAATGAATGTCGGGCGTGTGTTTATTAGTAAAATGATTTTTTTCTAAATAAAAGTTTATAGTAAGTGGCAAGATAATGAAAATAACTATAATATGCAGGTAAGTGAGGGCACGAGACAGGCAATCGGGGTTTAATAATCTAAATAAGTTTAGTTATTAATTTTAATTTGTTAATTACATTTATATACAACATCAATGACAACTAAGCCCCTATCCTAATTTATTGTATTCTCCAAGAAATACAAATAAGTCCTAATCCCATATGGATTGAGACTCTCATACTATTGAACCTGTAAGTTAAATTTTAGGATTAAAATATGAGCCGAGCCAGTGAGACCTAATTAACGTAAACCCCAAGCCCAAATGCAATCCAAGAGCAGATTTATGAATGTTAGTGGAGTTCTTCAAACTGAGAATATAAAATTAGTACTACAGTACTAAAGCTAATAACCCTATAATATAGTCATCCAGTAGGTTGATAGAATAGTACGATCGGCCCCTAAACAAAAATATACCAAAATAAATTCAAAGACAATTGGTCTTTAGTAAGCTTATGCTTTCTTGATTCTCGTGCATTTTGCATCAGATTTGATCTGTCTTATAACTTCATTCTGGATTGACAGGATGTTGAATTGGCTATAAAGGGGACGTTTGATGCTGTTTTGGACACAATTGGCGTTCCAGAGACAGAACGGATGGGCATTAATTTTCTGAAACGAGGTGGACACTACATGACTCTTCAGGTAGTATACGAAAGTTTATCACCTTTTCATCTTTATCATACTTGAAGATGTACTCTCAGTTCATTGCCAGAATTACCTTTTAATTTTTTTTAAAAGTGACATCTGTGCTCCAATCTTCTATTTTTACTGTTTCATTGAAGGGTGAGGCAGCGTCATTGTCTGATAGATATGGATTGCTTTTTGGGATTCCAGCATCTACAGCTGTTTTATTGAGAAAACAGCTTCTATACAAAATCTCTCATGGAATAGGTAGAAAATTTCTGACTATCATGTTATTTTACTTTGGTACCTTCACGTATGTTACTTATTTCCTTTGTCATTCTATCTTTTCTTGACATTGATAGAATTGGAATCATTAAACGGAATGAACAAGTTTTACGCTTTTTCAAGAGATGTAGATTATACTGTTTTCATAATCACAAAAGTACCCCAAACTACTTATAGTTATTTCATAGGCAGCTACTAGTAACTAGTCTGCAGTTTATAATTAAAACCCACGCTTAATTGGCTTAATTAGTTTCAGGCCCATTGCCCTTGTTTCTAACATAAACCCTTGCATTTCTTTGACTAACCTAACTAACGAAATCTAATGGGTATCTATCACCAGTCTTCCCCCAAAATTTCACCTTGCCCTCGTGGTGAACAGCCTGTGACTGTGAGTTGTGACTACTCGAATAAATCCCCATTGGTGTTCCAACTGACTAAAGCATGGTGACCAACCTAATCAGACCACTGCATAGCTTTCAATTCTCCACAAATATTTTGGTATCTCCATTATTCTCTAATGCTCTGTTTTCTGCGGCATTTTTGGCCATAAAACAGAGTGTTTCCAATTGCAGCTGAAGGTTATCAAGGTCATCTACCTTATTCTGCTGGGTCTGGCCCATGAGGACTTGGAAGCAATCCAGTTGCTGCAGCTTCGTGATCTCTTTCCTCTTTTCCACATCTTCACTTTACTCCTTTACAGGATTGAATATGATTCTAGGGGTTCTTGCAATGCGATGTGTTCACCAGCAATTTCCTCACTTCTTTGGTCTCTTTTTCTCTCTCCGATTCTTCTTTTGTTTCTTTCTTTCTTGATTGTTTTAGTGGTCCATCCAGCAATTTTAAGTCTTCTCTCCCACCATGATTCTTTTCTTGGGTCTTGATCCCTAACATCTTCACTTCTATTTTCTTCCTCCAACCTGAAATATTGGTCATACATGGCTCTCCATTGCCGAAAACTGTTCCCCTCGAACATTGGAATCAAAATCTCAGCGGGTTCTGCCATCCACCCTATTGACCGAAACTTCCTCTTCTTCCCTCTGCATACATCATCGTTACATGTTCAGAATCACCTTTAGCAGTTCTTTCATCATCTCCTTGTCCCAGTGCCTCATATTGCAGCTTGTTCAGGTGTTGTGCCGCTTCATATTGGCACTGCACTTCTTCCATTCTTGCTTTAAGTCCTTGGTTTGACTCCATGATCACAAATTACCAATCAAAAAAGCTCCAAGAATCCACCACAACTGCACCCACGCACAAATCCCAGATCAACTTCTGTAATACCAGTTGATAGAACTGGTAGCATAACTGTGGGAAAGAACAGTTTTTTATTGAATGAAACTAGGGAGAAGTCCCTAGGAAGCAGTCACAATTCCAGATATTTCGAGAGAATTCTAGATCCACTCCTTGCACTGATTTTCTCAATCCCAAAAATCCTCTAAGCTATTTATAGTTTTTCCTATTTATAGAAACAACTGGTCTATAATTCATAACTAAAATCTGCCCTTAATGGGCCTAACTAGTTTCGGGCCCGTTCCCCTTCTTTCTAACCTAAACCGTTGTATTTCTTTGAGTAGCCTAACTAATTACTAACATTAACTGACTAAATAGTTGGTGTATATCAGACAGTCTTTTTCTCATGTCTCATATTTTATGCCACTTGCCTCTCTTCCATTGTAGGCTAAAGAAGCAGTGACTGAGGTGGAGATAAAATAATTACTTATTATGCTAATTGACATAACTCAGGTTGGGGGATTTATTTATTTTGAAGTAGAATTCTAAAGCATTGATAAAATCTGGAGATGAACCAACTGAATGAAAAAATAGACATTGTGAAAATGGGTCCTGATGTAGTTTCTTTATACCCTATGGATCTAGTATTCTCTGAGGCAAAAGCCTATACTAGACAAGCTGCAATAACATTCAGTCACAATTAAGCATTGTCTTATAATTAAACTCTCTGCAAAGAAACCAGATCGGTAACTGGATGGGCATAACCCAACTAATGCCATGTTGGGTGACTTGATCTTGAAGAAGGATATGGTCGATTGAGATCAAAAAGAGTATTTTATCATAAGCAGTGGGGTATCAAAAAAGTATTTTATTTTTTACCAGATTGAAATGTCAAAAGTAGATTTAGACATTTACTGTCATGCAAAACTTTGCACAATGTGTTTTAGATTTTTATTAGTTAAACTGCCAAAAGTATTTTTTTTACCAGATTGACACGTCAAAAGGATATCTTCAGGTGTGCCTTTCCAGATATTACATATTCATAAATGATATCTTTGCATTTTTTTTTGTCAAGAAATTGGGATCTATGAGAAGATTCTCAATTTTGGTTTGTCACGTTGATGATATCAAGCTTTATTGCTGCTTGTTATGTAACTCAAGCAGGATTGCAAATATCCTGAATTCAAGGATGGTGTTTATTTCCTTCATGTTTTAACTCGTGCTGTCAAATGTGGGAAGGTTTTCAAAAATATATGTGAAGTCAAATTCCCTTCTTTCCTTGTTATACAGAATACTCATGGACATACATGAGGGCTGACAAAGAGGGTTTAATTGAGATTCGAAAGCTATGTGAAGCTGGGAAGATGAAGATACCCGTGTGTAAAACGTTTCCCATAAGACAAGTGAGAGACGCTCATGAGGTAAAAGAAAGGAAGATCGTTCCAGGTAAAGTAGTACTGGAACTTGATTGACGTCCTCAATCTCATCACGGAGTTGCTTAAACTAGTTTCTTTTTTTGTTCATTTTTGGGTTCTCTTTTCAGTGGAGTTCCACATTTACTTGAGAAATTGGTAGTGCTTCTTCTGGGTTTTCACTGTATGATAGAAATTAGAAAGTGGAACTTTTTGTAAAGAGTGAAGATACAGCCGAAAGATTTTAAAAATTAATATTTGTTAATAAATTTATTATAAAATAATTATTTAATTTAATATTTTATAATTTAAATTATTATTTTAATCATCATAATGTCATTCGGACATTCTTTCATTTTTCTTTTGTAAATTTTGATTCAGAATATCCGGTCATGCAAATATGTAAATTGATTGAGATGTTTATGTGACGCGCATGACCTTTACCTTACCTTTACAACTGTTTTGTTTTTAGTCATGTCCACTTGTGGAAGGTGATGATATGACGTTATACCTTCATAACCCCCATGTGTCAGTTGCACTCACAATCCATGTATTCTTGAATTGTGACATCGAAAGAGAACATTGCTGAATTATTAGCAGAAAACTTGTTCATTGTATTAAGCTTTAGTGCTACTAGGGAGCGGAGAGGTAGGCATCATTTGTTGTTGAAATGGCCAGATCTTAGGAGCATTATCAGGCAGCATTTGTCTGCTTACTTTTTAATTATTTGAACTGCTAGGATAGGAACAGGTTCTTGATCACGTGTGGCATTCGTGATTCATATGTTAATAAATTAAAACTTGTAACCTCACTTGAATACAACTATTCAATTATTTACGGTCTGGTGGGACACAATCTAACATGGACTGTATAGACAGACAGACACTTTGACAAGCCCTAGCAGTGGTCATTGGGTGCAATCTTTAAATTAGGTCTTCACCCCTTTTGTTTTTCTTGTATTATATTACACTAATCAACTTGGTAGTAATTATCATCGTTTAGAAAAATGTAAAGGTACCTTAAAAAGCCTCATTGGCCATGGCCACTTTTCGGCATTGGCATTACCTCAAAACCGGGCCTCATGCAGAAAAGCCCAAAATGCCAAAGTAAAAGTGTTCTATAATGCAAGTCCATAAAAGTATTATGGCACAATCTGCTTTTCATAGACGTCTTTCCATAATGCGTTCTTAGTATCAGATTTGTCAAGCTGTGTAAATGTGTGGTCAAACCCCTTCTTTTTAAGTAACCTTGACCCACTTATTTATTTGGTTATCATTCAACTTTGGAGTTAGGATCATACGTTGTGTTGTGCTTGTGCATGCTTCTCTTTGAGTGGGTTTTCATGCAGCTGGACCACACCTCTAACCTATTCGTATTAAATGCTTTCTCTTGTTGCATGTGACGGGGCTTTAGATGGTTAAAGGGTGTGTTCAGCAATCTGTAACTTTACACTAAAAATGGAGTACTTAAGAAATAGTAGTGGTCAATAGCAGTATTGATTAAAGAAATATTTTATCTTGTCAAATTATGATTAATTAATTAAAATCGTAAAAATATTTTTATTTAATAATTTTCAATTTCAAATTAACTGTGGTCAATTTTTATTAGCTAAGTGATACCTTACTGCTCTCATTATGTTAAAACTTAAAAGATTTATTTTTACATATACTTTATTTTTTTAATATTTTATCAAGGTAATTTTTTTTTTATTTTCGCAAATAATCTACGACCCTTGATATTTGATAGTATTTCTCCATACTCCAGTACATTTATCTGCCACGCGTCACATGTGCGCAGATTTCTATGATATCCGTGGGAAGCATAGTAAACGGCACAGTTCTTCGCAAATGGGAGGGACCCTATGCTTGTTTAAGAATTTTGCATCTACTCTCCTTTTCATGCGCGTGCCTGCACACTTCTCATGCGTTACTATACTTTTATCTTAGGTCCATACTTATTTAATCCACCAAGTTATCGTGTTCAATGAATATTTTGAAAAGAATTAAAATTATGTGAACAACTTTTTTGCAACCTCTTCCGTGCAAAACATTTGAAAATTTGTGTTGTCAATCACATGTCACATTCTTATTGGCAATTTGGCAAGAGTTAAGTTATTTGAAAGGCTATGTCAAATAGTTATGTGGCTAACAAATGAGAGATAGTATGAATAAAATGAGAGATAGTAAGGCGCGTGGCGTGAAAGGAAAGCAGTGTTGAGTATGATTGGGTAGCAACCTCGATGATTGATCGGAGCAAAGCTTTTGAAGTGCCGTCACGTGCGTGCACCTTCCCATGTGACATCTTTCGCAACCACCCTTCTTTTTTCCTTTTTATTTTCTAACCCTGTCATTTTAATTTCAAAACATTTTTTCCATCACAATATATTTAATATTTAATCTGCAGGGAAAAATTTAACCTGAGGAAGAAGAAAAGTTTGGAAAAAAACAAAACATGGAATAATAATGGCGAGTTGTGTGAAGCACTGTGAAATCGGTGGGTAAAGCGAAAAAGCAAGCACAAGTTACAGACATACACAGTAGTACAGTACAACTTTGTTATAATATTTAGTATTTACATTTACAATACAATAGTAATAGTAATACTGCACTTCTCACACGGATGGATAGACACATGAATTCTGCGAAAGTGCCATGAATTTTGATATTCCCAATACCAAAACATTTTCCTTCGTCTTCTTCTATGATCTATCTGGCCACGTTCTTCTTCCTGCACTCACTCACTATTTTACTGCCTCCTACCTATTACAAATACAATACATCTTTTTCAGATTTTTACATCTCAATTCGGATCACACATTTTATTGTCTACAATTAGAGTAAAGTCCACTGCATTATTGTAGAGTGCACATTGGATCAATCTTATAAAAATGGGAAATGTTATGGATTAAGAAAACTGATCATGCATTTCTGTATGCATGTTAAGCACTCAGTATTCACTTGTTTTATATTCAAGAATACCTACAAAATAGAGTCATTTTTTTATACCCCAACAATATAATGCCATGTTACCATCTCAGTGCTGTGTGTGTCCACTCCATGGAACATTTTGCCTAAAAAAAAAATTCAATACTCACATTTCTAGTATGTAGACATTAATTGCGTATTAAGAATGCAAGTAACAAGAAAACTTAGTCAAAGTATTTGAGAGATTTCCTTCAAATTCAATGCGGCTGAGAAAACTGCTGATTTGGACAAATATAGTACCGTTAGGTAGGGTTTTCTCTCCTATTTTTTTCCCTCCCCTTTAATAGCCGTTGGGTAGGTTTTGTTTTGTAAGTTTTATTAGTTGTTGTTGTTGGTTAAGATTTTCGTACAATTATATATTTGGTAGTACTGACTTAGTTCTTTATCAAGGTAAAACCTAACCATATTAAGAAAAAAAATTTCACATTATATCTAGAAATAATTTTAGAAATTTCACCGATCATTATCTAATAAATACATGTATTATTCATGATAACTCCCAAAATCTTCTTTATCCGTATCTTACATGATCATAAACATTAGCCTTAGTTTTTCATTTTTATTTTCTCACTCAAAAATTGATTTTCCCCCCTCACCACCTTTCTTTTTCTTTTCTTTTCCCACTACTTTCTGTCTTTACCAAAGTTGTTGATCTGCCAAAAGTCTCGTGCACGCAGATGATTTTTTTCCCTTTTCTACTGAAAACGGAGACCATCCTTGAGACTTGAGTACTTCACTAATTACAAGTATCACCCAAGATTCACTTCTCTTGACCAAATACCATGATTCATACCACCTCTCAGTTCTCAAATACCAACAAGATTCTTCACACCAAAAGAAGGGCACCATTTAAACTAATTTTTTTAATATATTAAATTGAGTTAATCACGTATATATTATTAATGTAAAAATAAAAAGACTTTACACTGATAGTGTATAAGTAATTAATTTTATTAAATTTATATAAATAATTCTAAAAAAAATAAATTTAGATATAATTTCTTGAATGTAATCGATAATATTTACATATTATCAGGATAAATTTCTAATATATCAATTATACATAAATAAAAAAAACTGTATTTAAATTTTCTCAACCTTCGCATAAAAATTAACTATAAATATGACTACACAACAATTTCAAAGCGTATATTAACTTTTACCGTATACTTATATTGTTAAGATACTACAACAAGAGATTATTATCTATTAAAAAAATGAGACATGTGCTGGTAGAAAAAACCACCAGTTGGCACAACAAGACCCTACCCTACAATGGGTTACATATTTCCAAAGACAAACAGCATTTCGTCATCTTCCATTAAACCTTCTCCTCTCATTATCTCTCTCTCTCTCTCTCACTCACATATAGTAGTAGCCACCTTGCAATCTGTAGCTAAGGATAATAGTTCACCCCACCTCACACCCAACCAAAGCTAAGCTTAACCTCCTTCATTAGCTACCATCCCAAAAATTCCTCACTGCCATGACTTGGCAACAAGTGTTATTTTGAGTCCAAAAATAATAGAAAATGGATTCAGGGAGAGAGAGAGAGAGGCCTCATCGCAGCACAAGTAGCAATAGCAAGCAGCACAAGTGAACTCTTTGTGTGCTTCACTTCCCGTTTGTCCTCTTCATCCATGAAGCTCTCTTCCAAGTCCATTCTCAGCCCTAGCCGCAGCAGAGACCCTCCTCAGATTTCCCTCTCTTCTTCCCTCAGCAGGAGGCTCAAGAGCAATGGAAGCATCAAGGGTGGCCAAGCCTCTCCCATGTTCCCTACCGGTGGCAAGAGAAGAGGCTGTGGCTTTGAGAACCCTGAGCCTTCTTCCCCCAAAGTCACATGCATTGGCCAAGTAAGGGTGAAAACCAAGAAGCAAGGGAAGAAGATGAGGGCAAGGTCAAAAAGGAGAGGAGAGGCTAGCTTTAGAAAGGTTGAACAAGTTGGTCCAAATGGAAATGGTAATCTTAATGCAAATCCAGATCTCACTAGACAAAACAGCCAAGGGGTGAACTTTCACCACCAAAACTGTTTGAAGCATAGGAACCAAAGATGGGTGCACCTTCCCTTGACTATATGTGAGGCTTTGAGGGAGTTCAGCTGCTTTTTTCCATGCAGGTCTTCTTGCATGTCAAGTGAGAAGGAAAAGGAGAAGGGTGGTAGTGGAGGACATGATGGTGGTGATGGGAGAGAGGGTTCTTGTGGGGCTGCATTTGGAAGGTGGCTGGTGGCTTTGCAAGATGGGGATGGCAAGGGGAGGGGGATTGAGCTGGTGATGGAAGATGAGGTGGAGGGAGGAGAGACAGGTGAGAGGAGCCATAGCCAGAGGAGGCATGTGTTTGAGGACATTGATGTTGATTTGGTAGTGGGAGAGGAGGAAGAGAAGAAGCACGAGGAGGTGGTGGGAGAGGAAGAGGAGAAAGGGAGAGTTAGCATATGTATACCTCCAAAGAATGCTCTTTTGTTGATGAGGTGCAGATCTGATCCTGTCAAAATGGCAGCTTTGGCTAACCGGTTTTGGGAATCACCTGTTCACAAAGACAAATGTCAAGAAGAAGAAGAAAAAGAAGAAGAGCATGATGAAGAGGACCAACAACAACAAGAAGGAGAAGATGACCAAGAGCAACACATCAAAATGGAACAAGAACAAGAAGAACAACACCAACAAGTAGTAGTAGAAGAAGAACAACAAGTTGAAAGTGAAACCAAAGAAGATAACATTTGTGAAAGAGAAACAGTTGTGGCGAGTGAAGAAGAGGAGCAAGAAGACGGGAAAGAAAGGTATGAAATTGAAAGCAGAGAGAACCTAGAAAGCAAAGAGTTTTCTCAAGAGGAAGAAAAGGGTGATGAAGAAAAAGAAGCAAATGTGGATGCCATTGACGAAGGTGAAACCTTAACACTCCCCGAAGCTCATTCAGATCCAGAGAAGCATAAAACCGAAGCAGAAGAGGTTAATCTCCAAGAGGGTAAGGAAGAAGAAAGAGAAAACGACGAAAGCTCGGAACTTTCATCCTCCCCAGAAATCTTCACAGCTTCAGAACCAGAAAACGACGTAGCAGAACCCGAAACGGAAGCAGTAACGGCGGAAACTTCAGAAGGGTCAGCAGAGGAAGAACAAACTCAGAACCCAGACCCGACCCGAGACCCGGATCCGGAGTCGAAGGAGCGAGAAAACGGGTCAAAACTTGAAGAGAGAAGAAAAGCTTTGCCGGAGTGCTTGTTGCTGATGATGTGCGAGCCGAAGCTGTCCATGGAGGTGTCAAAGGAAACGTGGGTGTGCAGCACCGACTTCATACGGTGGTTGCCGGAGAGACCCGCCGCCGCAGGCGG